CAGGAGAAAACCTCTCCAATTGTGGCGTTTCAGACAAACCCAAACCTTTACTCTGACAGAAATGAAAGACATATCGGTCTTCGTGAATATGATAAATATTAAATCCATCTCTGAATGCACAATTCCACATGTAAAAAGTTGATTTTATACATTCTCTTCCCTTTCTAGGATACCTGAATCCCTAAATGTCCCTTCAAACGCAGAGCTGATGGAGGACACTGGATATCTACAGTAATATTGTGGTTATTTTATCCTAAGCTATACAAACAAACCACTGCACCACAATTAAAGTAAATTTGTGGTCAAAAATATTCTGAGGTCAAACAGCAAAATGATCTTGTATTGTTAATTTGTAAATATGTTCCACATTTTTTTTTCTTTCACTAAAATAAATAAAACATGTCCAGCTAACCTTGTAGGGTTTAGAGAGGGATAGGCAACCTTCGGCACTCCAGATGTTGTTAACTACATCCCCCATAATGCTCTTACACCCATAATGCTGGTAAAGCATCATGGAAGGTGTAGTCCAAAACATCTGTAGTGCCGAAGGTTGCCAATGTCTGGGCCCTAAATCATCATCAGACAATTTAATAGGACCACTATAGTGCCTGGAAAACAAACTCATTTTCCTGGCACTATAGGGTCACTAGGTCCCCCCCCCCCACCCTCAGGACCCCCTTCAGCCACTTAACTTTCTCCAGCGCCGGGCTCACTCGCCGCTGGTGACCTCTCCTCCCCCTGCCAACATCAGCTCCGAATGCGCATGCGCGGCAAGAGCCGCACGCACATTCAAACCGCCCATAGGAAAGCATTACTCAATGCTTTCTAATGGACGTCCAGCGTCTTCTCACTGTGATTTTCAGTGAGACAGCCACTAGAGGCTGGATCAACCCTATATTTTCAGCTGCAGGGCTAAAATTAAAGGGACCTGGCACCCAGACCAATTCATTGAGCTGAAGTTGTCTGGGTGCCTATAGTGGACCTTTAATGATTTCCTGTTTCCTGCAAAGTGTAATGCTCGGAGTTACTCTGCACGCCACATGTCTGGATTGACTGCTTACATTACATATGTTCTTTTTTTTTTAAATTATTATTATTGTTTGGTAACTACTGTAACATTCTTATCCTTATTCACAGGACTCTGAATTTTAAATAATGGAAATCAGGATATTCTAAAAGAGCCCCATGTTGTGACTATAACTCAATTATGAAGATTTTCTCCTGTTTTTCCATTTCAAATCTTTAGAATTATTTTATTTACTAAACTATGAATGGTTATGAATTCAAAGTAAATTCAATTAAAATTTTACGTTTTAGACCAAAATAGCCGAATCAATATAACATACATGACATTTTGAGAATATTTCCAATTTAGCTATTTTGGCCTAACATTTGAAATTTATCTTACATTCCCAACAATTCACAGTTTAGTAAATAACTGTGCTTGATTATGGATTTGTTGGGGTGTATTCAAGGTGAATTAAAGTGATATAGACAACTTCATCTCTTTGAAATGGCCTGGGTGCAGTAGCCTTGTCCTTTTAACCTTGCGTTGTTAAACAGTGCATTTTTTTTGTTTTTTTTTAGAAACTGCATTTAAGAAGACTGGAGGTGGATTTAAATGAAACAATTTTTATTTTTTTTAATTTTTTTTTAACAGGGGGACCATGCCAGCAAGGGTTACTCCATCTGAAAACAGTGTTTTATTAAAATATCAGGGGGTCAGCAACCTATGCTATGTGAGGCCGTCAGACCTAAATGGGCCTACTGGGTAGATCAGACAAGTTCAGTGTGCTCTTCTGCTAGTGCGAGGGAGTTAGTGGTCTGCACCTTCAGGAAGTGCAGACAACTTGTACAATTCACTTGTGATCGGCAATGCTACAGGTTAATATGACAATGCTCAGACTTCCTGAGAAGCCTCAAAGTGGAGTGTAAGTTACAAGTGATTCAAATCAGTGCCTATGACCCATGAACAGGGGCCCTGAAACCATGACTTTCCTTGGCTCCATTAATCATCTCTATTTTGGGCACCAAAGCAGTAACCAGCCTATGAACCTGTTATGGGCCAAAGCTTTGGGGGCAGAACACAGTGAACATGGGGGGAGGGAGGCAGAACACATTTAACAACCAGAATCATCCACATCATAAGGAGGCACAACATAATAAATAAAGAGAACTTTGTAGTTAGAGGAACACTGTAGAGCGTAGAATACATTGACCACAGTGAGAAGGAATGTTTAGCAGGGTTGGAGCGGGCTACACTACATTAAACACTATAAACCAGAGAGAGAGGAAATTGTAAAACCAAATGTAACTGTGGTCATCTATAAGGAATAGGATGTCCTACTGATATGAATGCTCAGAATAGGAGGCTCGTAAATACTGATTATTAATAGAAAAGAGGAACAAGTTACAGAGTGGTGCAATTATGAAAATTTCTCAACTTGTCTAAATGGAAATCAAACCGCTCATGTTGAGACTGGTTTGCTCAGTAAAATTAAACTTAAAATAGAACCGTAGGTGTCTCCCACCTCCTAGGCTCCTTCATTATCTAATTTAAGTGCACCGACCTTGCTAATCCCCAGGCCTGGAGAATACTGCGAGTTAATTGATTTCCACCTCTGCAAGGAAAGTCAGTCCCTGAAAATAATATGTTGAGTTGCTCAATTTCCTTCTTGCTTTCACAAGGTGAACTCTCATTTCCATTTTGTTTATTTTTATTTTTTTAAACTGGTTCCCCGTACTTTGTGGAAACCCCACAAACACATCAAACATTTTCTTTATCCCTCCCATCTTCTGCAACTCCACATACTAAAATAATCTACATTTTGTCATCCTTTCTACCTTTTGACCCAGGCATTACCCTGATCTGTGACTAAGCAATGCTAAATCTTAGTTAGGCATCTATGAATTTCCAGATTTGTGACCTACCACTCTCATCACACGTATCCAGTCATCCTCGTGCTCTGCAATATAGATAGTATAAAGAGAAGGCAGACATTTTATTATAATGTAAACCTAAATGTTATTTGTAATGCAGCCCCTTTTTAGATCTGTGTATGAAACAATCATCGTTTTCTGTGTTATTTACTATAGTGTGATTTGGCAGGATTTCAGGCTTCATTTAACCCCTTAAGGACCAAACTTCTGGAATAAAAGGGAATCATGACATGTCACACATGTCATGTGTCCTTAAGGGGTTAAAGGGAATTTCCAGTTGTTGCTCAAAAATAGTTGAATTAACTGAAATCACAATTTTTAACTCATTTTGAATTCTTGACAGTTCATACTGTTGTTCTGAGTCCTTTTCTCTCACGGTAAAAGTGTGGTCTAACCTTAATTATAGTTCTATTGGGTTTTCACAAACAGCCCAATATGAAGTGATTGTTCACTCATTGTATTGTAGCATTGTGCTTGCATCCACTAGGTGACTGTGGATATAAACCCTAGGTGAGAGTTGAGGTGGTTCTGTATCAGGCAGACAGTGTGGTGAGGAGGTTGTGTATCAGGCAGACAGTGTGGTGAGGAGGTTGTGTATCAGGCAGACAGTGTGGTGAGGTGGTTGTGTATCAGGCAGACAGTGTGGTGAGGAGGTTGTGTATCAGGCAGACAGTGTGGTGAGGTGGTTGTGTATCAGGCAGACTGCGTGGTAAGATGGTTGTGTATCAGGCAGACTGCGTGGTAAGATGGTTGTGTATCAGGCAGACAGTGTGGTGAGGTGGTTGTGTATCAGGCAGAGAGTGTGGTGAGGTGGTTGTGTATCAGGCAGACAGTGTGGTGAGGTGGTTGTGTATCAGGCAGACAGTGTGGTGAGGTGGTTGTGTATCAGGCAGACCATGTGGTGAAGTGGTTGTGTATCAGGCAGACAGGGTGGTGAGGTGGTTGTGTATCAGGCAGACTGCGTGGTGAGATGGTTGTGTATATGGCATACTGCATATCAAAATGGTTGCTTATCAGGCAGAATGCTTGATAAGGTGGTTGCATATGAGCCAGACTGAATATTGAAATAATGCTACATTACAGAGACTATATGTTGAAATAAACTTGTATGATGGAGACTTTTGTTGACGTCTCTAGATGTTGAGCTAAGCCTATATAAGGGAGACTGAGCATTGAGGTGAGTGTCAAATCTTGATGTTGAGTTGAAATTGTAACTTAAAGATTGGGAATTACAGAGTTTGGGTTTTATGGTGAGCTTATATCACAAAGATTTGGTGTTGTCTATAACAATATCCTGGGTGTTGGAGTGAGCCTGTATCATATAGCCTGGGTGTTGGGGTGAGCCTGTATCTATAGCCTGGGCATAGGCATGTGCACGGGGTGTGCCGGGTGTGCCTGGGTACACCCTAATCCCCGCGGCATGCCTATGGATTGAATCCCGCAGGAACAGAGTTCCTTCACTTTTTTGAGCAGGAACGCTGTTCCTGCAGGCACTCAGCACCCCCAAATGCCCCCCTTAGTCCCCTCGTGTTCCCCCTGTCATGGGGGGGCAAGAGGTGATGGATCCCCCCCCCTTCCCTCCGGGTGCCTGTCTCCATATCAGGCGCAGCAAGGGAGCTGTGTCCTCTCTGTTCTCTCTCACCGCGCGCTGTTTGCTGATGCCAGGAGCCAGAATATGACATCATATTCTGGCTCCCAGCTACTGTAGACAGCCCGCGCGGCGAGAGGGAGCAGAGAGCACACAGCTGCCTCGCTGCATCTGATCTGGAGACAGGCGCCCGACCCATTGTACCCCAGGGACAGGTCCACGCCAGCTCTCCAGGTAGGGAGGCTGGGTGGACATTTTTTAATTTAAAAAAATTATAATTTGTATGTGTGTGTGTTTGTGAATGTATGTGTGTCTGGAAGTGTGTGTGTGTGTCTGTGAGTGTATGTGTCTGTAAGTGTGTGTGTCTAAGTGTATATGTGTCTCTGAATGTATGTGTGTGTGTCTGTGAATGTATGTGTGTGTCTGTGAGTGTATGTGTGTGTGTTTGAGTATGTGTTTGCACTTGTATATATATGTGTGTGTCTGTGTATGTGTGTCAGTGTGTGTGCGCACACACTGACACACATACACAGACACACACATATTCCAGTTAGAACAAACTAACTTTGGTACTTTGCAGTAGAGGATTTCATCTTCAGTAGTTCTCCTGGTGGTATTTTAAAGAAGATGCTGGGCTGTGGCAGCTGTGTCTACAATATTTAATGTGAAGAAGGAGTTATTAAAACTATTAGTTACTTACAAGCACCCAGATTCCATCACAATGCAGGCTTTAATTGGAACAAGCACATCATGACAATGTTTCAGCCATACAGACTTCTGAATACACACACATACAGACTGCTGAATACACACACACACACTGCATTGAGGGGTGCAGTGTATGTGTTTGTGTGTAAGGGTGTGGAGTGCTGTGTGTGTGTGTCTGAGGGGTGCTGTGTGTGTGTGGGGAAGGGGTGCAGCGTGTGTGGGGGTGCTATGTCTGTGGGGGGGAAGGGGTGCTGTGTGTGTGGGTGGAAGGGGTGCTGTGTGTGTGTGGGTGGAAGGGGTGCTGTGTGTGTGTGGGGGGGAAGGGGTGCTGTGTGTGGGTGGTAGGGGTGTTGTGCGTGGGGGGTAGGGGTACTGTGCTGTGTGGGGGTAGGGGTGCTGAGGTGTGTGCTCTGTCCCAATGTTTATTGTATGCTTGTAATGCCCCTGTAAGCACAGTAAATGATTTTAGGATCATTCGGATGGATAAGAGTATTACTTATACGAGGAATCGAGGTGCTGTTGTGTGCATTATCCTTCTGCAGAAGAGGAATTTCTTGAAGAAACGATTGAAACCTTTTCTGAAAATCAATAAACCAACCCTTCTATTGCGCTATTCGTCTGACCAAAAAAGGTAAGTAGGGAAAGGGGGGAGTCCCTTTTATAGGTCTATAGCCCCTCCCACAACTTCAGGCCATGCCTTCCAATATGTGTGTGTGTGTAATGAGCACGGATTGGCCCAGTCTTGTTGCTAGTTGCATACTCATGCACAATAACATATTCAAAGTGAAGAGCGCACCCATAGAACTTCAAAATAAACAAGATCAATTCATTTTTTTTCACTTGTGCAACTGCAGACATTCAGCATTTCAGTACCATTACTAAAATGTCCTTAATAGGCCAAAGTAGTTGTACTGAAACATTGATTACATGCAAATGTACGTCTACTTAAAATAAAGGTGCTCTTTTGTTTACTTTGAAGCCCTATATGCGTTTTTTCGTTGGAGTAAGAGTTTTCAATTTCAAGTTATTTTTTTTACCCTCTATATCAGCACACTATGTTGGCGCGACGCATTATTGGGCTGGTATAGAATTTTGTTCCAGGGCTGTTTTTAGTTCCCAGTCTGGCCCTGTATGCAAATAATTCATAGCGAAGTATAAAGGATGGCTTGAAGATAAAAAGTTAACAGAGAAAGCTCGAAAAATGGCATGATACTGCAGTCAAATTGGCACAGTGTGGCTGTAGAGAAACTACTAGAAGGGGGATACCTATTATCAGTGTTATGGGTCGTTGCATGATACTTCCCCTAAGGAAATTCAGCCCACTCCTTACCCCGAGAAGGCACACAGTACAGATGATAATACAAAAACCCCACAGGTATCCACAGTAAACTCAGTTACTGGACACTCTTATTGGGCTTGCCCCACCTGCCAGTGGAATAAACCTTGGTGGAAAGAGAAGTGCCGTAACTGTGGTTCCCTAGACCCCCACAGCATATGCTTATGCTCATGCAGCTGAAGGGTGGATTGGTGCCTGCCAGTAGTGGCTCAACTGTGGATATGGACCAATCTTGTGCTAGTGGAAATGATGCCCCTGGTTGGGTGTCAACCCCTCAATTAAGCCAGTGGTGGGAGTATAAACTATTGTCACCCTCAGACCAGCTGGCCATGTTAAAACAATTACCCAACGCTGAGGACTCAGTGCTCCTTGTAAATACCCTTGAGCATATTAGAGCCACTTATAATTTCACTTGGGGTGATTAAGAATCACTGGTCCGTGCTAAAGCCGGTCCAGTCATGGCCAGGTTAATCAAAGATACTACTGATGTTGAAAAGGGGATTTTACAAGCTGCCCTACATGACAGAGACCAACAGTGGTTTTTGAGACAATATGATTCTGGTGAACCTTACATTAAAGCCTTAGAAAAATGGGCGCAGTCCAGGCTCACCGACCTTTCATCCCAACCCAGAGATCTTACCCAAGAGAATGGGGGAATCAGTTGAATTTGTTTTTGCCTGTTTCTCGGATATTCAGAAAGGTAATCGAAGTCCACTAGCCAGCTGGTTGACTGTTTTATGGATGGTTTGCATCACCGACTCAGCGCAGCCCTTAAAATAGCTAGATCTGAGTGGTGTAGCCCAACTTATTCTGACCTTGTAAAAACTGCTGAAGGTATTGAAGTCAACCACCATCCTTCTTGAGATAAACCAGCAGGTGCCACTAGACTAATGGTAAATCAAACGTCATGGGGCCCCCACCATTCAAATCAGAGTCAGCGTAGTGGTCCTGTATGCTGGAATTGCAATAAAATAGGACATATCAGGAGAAACTGTCCCCTAGACAAAATTAGCAGTGTCAGCAATCCATCTCAGATAATCCTAGCCAAGATCAGACTCCTCAGAATGCAAATCCTTCCGCTGCCCCATAGGATAGTGACAACACAGTGTCCCTGCCCTCTATTGTTCTGTCTAATGGCTCAGGTCCTACACCTATTGTAAATGTTACCTTGGCCGGTAACAGAAAAATACTCTTTCTTTTAGACACTGGGGCAGTCCGTTTTGTTGTGCAGGAAAAATATGTTTTTCCCTATGAAAAATCAAATTATGAATTAACATGTGTGGGGGTGGGTGGGACTCCGACTGACATTCCTTTGTCTCACCAAATGAAACTTAGGCTTCATGACTCAACTGCCTTGGTGACTAAATTGCTTGTCCATAAGAAAAATTCACAGGCACTCCAAGCTTGAGAAAGACCTCTTTTAGGTCGAAACGTTGCTGTGTATTTTGTTGCAATAAACCTGCCTGCGGCTTTCACATTTAGAGTGTCTGTGAATTTTTCTTATTGCCTTATCGTGTTGGGATTGCTGATCCTGTTCCAGAGCACCCGTGGCTGCTGGGGGTGAGTGCGGTTCCTGCGACCAACCTTTGCTACATTGCTTGTCAGTCCCACTGCTCCTGTAAATCTACTTGGCAGCGATATTCTATCTGCCATAAATGCCAACATACAGTTCAGCCCCACTAGTAACGTGACTTTGCCCCTTGAAGCTAACTGTCTCATATCACTTGCCAGTGTGCTGGCATATTTTCATTTGTCCAGCCCTATGACAGAGCCTACTCCTGACTTGACAACAGTCCCTGGCTCTTTGTGGACACAGGGAAAGACAGATACCAGATGACTTGCTGTCCCTCCTGTACAGGTTAAGTTGTTGCCGAATGCCACCCCACCTTGCCTTAAGCAATACCCTCTCAGCCCAGCCCAAGAAGATGCTATCACTCAATCCATCCAGGATTTATTCCAGGCTGGCATAATTGTACCTACCACCTCTAACTGCAATACTCCTCTGTACCCTGTTAAAAAGAAACAGGAGAAAGGCAAGCCTGTGGTATATCCCATGGTGCTGTTAATGCTGTAACTGAATGAATTGCTCCTAATGTTCCCAACCCTCATACATTGCTGTCACAAATTCCACCCTCCTCTAAGGTGTTTACCGTCATTAACTTGGCAAACGCATTCTTTTTTGTACCATTGCACCCAGACAGCCAATACCTTTTTGCATTCACACACAAGCACTAACAATACACATGGACGGTGCTGCCTCAGGGTGCTCATAATTCGCTTACCATATATAGCATGGCAATGGCCCAAATTCTAGAAGCTTGACCAAGAACAGATGATGTTGTGTTGTTACAATATGTTGATGATTTGCTTCTATGTTGCCCAGACCTGGAGTCATGTACAAAGCACAACCTGTCTTGGCACAAGCAGGGTGCAAAGCTGCCAAAGCCAAACTGCAGGCATGTGCACCCACTGTTATCTTTCTGGGACACTGTACTTCTCTCTTCAATGGTGCAAAGCATCTCACAGAAGAAAGGAAACATGCAGTCAAAAAGATTCCCCCTCCACGCTGCCTAGCCCAGCTATGTACTTTCCTGGGCCTAGTCTCCTATTGTCGCCCATGCCTTCGCTCTGCATTGGAGAAGCCTGTTTACCCGCCTCCTGCCTATGGCCCCTGGGAGATTTGGCCCTTTAAATACAGTATTTGGGCATATTGTATTTTATTATGCTGCTGCTGGCCCTTTAAGAACCATCTGCAGGCACATTGTGACTTTGGTGAACAATGTCCCTTTAAGACTATGACCCCTGGAAGATATTGCCTGTTAAAGACTATTTTAGCAGATTGGATTTTAAAAAGACTCTTGCTGCCCCTTTAAATTGTATTGGAGCAGTTCTGCAGCTTTAAATTTGCACTTCGGATGCAGCCGAAGTGCCGAAGTAGCCGCCATTCGACAAACGAACACGTGGCGGCGGCCATCTTTGTTCATTCGAATGAGGTCAGCGGTATGTGTAGCCAAATCCATGGAACTGAAATCGGCTACACATTTCAACGAACACCACTGACCCTTACCTTCTCCTACACTCCGTTTTCAGCTGCAGAGACGAAGTCACGTTCGAAGATTCGAACGCATGTTCGAATGGGACTTAGTCATTTTTTCAGTGTGAAATTGACCAACCGCACAGCCCAAATCTATGGAACTGTTTTGGGCAGGAAAATGTGCCTGCGGTTGGTCACAGAGGACTTCTAACTAACTTTTGAACTAATGGAAGGATTTGCATGATTTTGAGTATGTTTATATTTCAAGTATGCTGATTAATAATATGCAATTTTTATGAAGATTGGATGTATATTTTTAAAGTTATAGTACATGTATAAAAACTGTATTTTTCCTGCTTGTGTTAATTATGTTAAGCATTGTGTGCCATAATTATATCAAAGGCAGAGGGGAGGATTATGTGTATAATTGCTGGGAGTGTTTTCTGTAATGTACGTGTGTTATT